TCTACAGTTGCATGAACAACGTTAAGTCTATAATCACCAAACACAACGCACATATAATTAGGAACAGTCAATCACAGAATACGGAAACTGACAACTGTAACTGCGACAACAAAAACACTTGCCCACTACCAAAACAATGCATGACCAACAACATTATTTACAAAGCAACAGTCACAACGAACAACACGAACGACACTAAACACTACATTGGTATGACAGCGACTACATTTAAGAAACGTTACGCTAACCACACTTCATCTTTTCGTCATAAAAAAGACTCAAACAAAACGGAACTTTCGAAACATATTTGGAAATTAAAAGAAAACAATCAGGATTATACCATCAAATGGTCAATTTTAAAACACGCTATTTCGTACACAGGGGGTCAAAACGCTGCAATTTATGTTTGGAAGAAAAATTTTGCATTTTGAAAGACATAAACAAAGACAATTTACTCAATAAAAGAAGCGAAATTTTCGGTAAATGTCGTCACAAAAACCGGTTTCGAGTAAACAAGGTCGTTAACAAAACCTAATGACCCAAGCATAAGCATTGTTTCACCTAAGCATTGTTTCGCCTACACGCATTCCGAACATTCTTTCGATAGCATAAAAGCAACCTACAATTTCGAAATTATTCACCACCTGATGATTCCTATACGAATGAAACAGACTGTTGTGGTTTTTTGAGGTAAAACGAAAAACTATATATATATATATATATATATTTACCTCGCGTAATACTAAATACTCGGCAAAATTTGCTAATTTCACAGGGTTATATTTTCAGTAATTTACAACATTTTACAACCAAACCAGGTTTGTAATTTTCTTAATTTTAGGATGCTCTTTTGAGCTATAATGATATATTTCGTCTTTCTTGTCTAGATAAAGGATTGTTCGATAGCTGGAATTGTCTATTGCATGCAGAGAGAATATATGTAAAAAATTAGAATATTCGGGACTATCTTGTTGACCAATCACGAATTAGGAAAATCATATATAACATATATATTTACCATACCTAATATTGCGACATTTTGTTATCCACAATGTATTTTTTACTATTCATGTTTGTAGTATTATGAAGGAAACAGAAATGCTTACGATCATGCTGCCCGAGTATATGTTGAACTTACAGCAAGAGCATTACGTTTCATTCCAGTAACATATGTAGGTCAACCATGTATGAGAATTGATATTTGGGGTGAAAGTAAGTTACTGCACATTTATTGTCTTTTAAAATTGTCATAAAATAACTTTATAGCTGGTATTTTCAAATTGGATGAATTCGCATTCACACACTTTATTATACCTCATTGTGTGTTTTAATTAATCTGTGTTTATGCGTGGTATGTGAGTTTGTAGCTATGTCATGCAGGATAATGCAAGTAAACTATCGAACAGTTTGATGCGAAATTTTGTGGAACCACTGGCAGTATCACGGGCATGCAGTAGACAAAAGTCAAATAGAGTGATCAAATTTTCTCTAAATTTGAATAAAAATTGGATCAGATATTCAATGATTTGTCTTGCTTTCCGGGCTGAAACGAAGTGAGTGCGTAATTAATGAACTAGTGTATAACCAGATTTTTCACTATAAAACGGGGAGGGGAACAAAAATCCATGAGCATTCGAAGCCTTTGACAGTATAGTTTGGTAAGTTACTCAACCTGTTTAAGACTTAAGGTTACAGAACACCTTTGATGGTTAATTTTGCCTAAAATTTTTTTATTGGTTTCCATGAAAGCATTAGACTAGTTCTACTATCTGACCAAGTTTGAACGAAAAATGTTGAAAACTCGTAAAAAAATACATTTCGCTGTACACGTATGTATAATATACACTGGCGAACATTTGGTGAAAATTTGATTCAAATCGGACTGATATTGAGCGCGCAGTAGCGATTTTCCGAAAAACGCCAAAAAGTGGTCCTGTAACCTTATGTAATGCTCAGTAACGCTAACGCTTTCAGTAGCGTTGACCAGATACCCGGACCACCAATGTGGCAAACGTTGGCGTGATGGCTTCTATTTTACAGGGGAGACTACCTCATAATTTGGCGCTTAATTGCCCCCGCAGGGTTTTGGCCCCAGAGGGCCAAAACCCGAGGAGGCATATATTGAAGTCCCCGGACGTAATAGTGTAATATGATATCAGTGTATACATACGGTGTATACCAGAGGCAGAGAAATTTAAGTTTTTAGGTTTTCGCCCGCAAAGCATTGGTGGGTAATATCAATGCTTTGCGGGTAATATCGCAAAACATTGGGGGTATTGAAGTCCCCGCACGTAATATGATATAAGTTGATGCAAATATAAATCAAGCATGAATTGTTAAAGCTATCAAGATTAGAAGCAATTAGTTTATATATTACAGTAAAAGGCCACAAGTTTAAAAGGTGAGGGTTCAAATTTTATTATAAAAGGCAAGTGAATTATTGGCGTAGTGCCGTAGCTGCGCAAGTTTAAAAGGTGAGGGTTCAAAGGTTGCGTTGCTTTCTGTAAGAATTATTATTCGCTTGGGTCAACACCTTGTCAAACGGCATTTTATTTCTGTGGTCTGTTTTACGTGTCTATTAATTAATAGACTTGTGAGGTACGTTGTTACTATCATTTGTTGGTGAAGGAGTCGATCCGTCAAATAACGAAAACAGTAACGCAAATTAAAAACTCCGTCTATCAAGATTCTATCAAGTATCAACTATACGATTTTTCAGACACATTAATCAAAACAGGAACCAAAAGACTTGGTTCACACATCAGTCAGTCAAAAACAAATACAAATATAAAAAATTGAGCAAAGCTTAACACACAACGGTCACATTATAAACGTTTGTAACAAGGGACTCATATAGTCATTGTTCCATTATATTGAAAAGCGCCATTCCTTCAGCCGGATAGACGCACAAGGATCAAGTTACACGTGGTTCACTTTTAAAGTTCGTCCAATTTTATCAATCTTCTAAGCGTTTTGAAAGAAAGCCAGAAAGTAGTAATAACATTTTGTAAATTACCATAAGGCATGATCATTTTTAATTTTTAATAACAGCTAGTTAGTACACCATGATCAGCCGGGGGCAGTTTTAGTGTAAACTATTTCTAGTGTTATATAGCCTAATTCTTTTAAAAAATATTTTTGAAACATCCTTCCAGACAGCTTAATACGGTGGCACCGCTTTTTCGTTAACTAATTTGGTGCAATTTTGGTTTCATTTTATGCAGTTTCGGCGCCCCCTAAAAGTTTTTGGGTCGCCTAAAAAACCCTCGCAGCCGTCGCAGGGGAGGAGGGGAGGGGGTAATTGGAAAGGTTTATATAGTTTATGCAAGCATAACTTCATGGTGGTGGTATGCAATCTCTGAGTCTTAATTTTTTAAAATTAATATCATATCTGCTTTATATCTTCTTTATTTTTTTCTGATATGTTAGATCCTCTTTCATGCAGAATTCTCTACTACACATTTCAAAATGATATATATGTCTCCAATATAGCCTTGGTAAACGACAAACCTACGAACATCGCCGTCGCTAACATCACGTCTAGAAGTGCTGTAATATCTTGGCTAGATCCTAAAAACCATGGAAGATATGGTCTTTTACGCTTTAGGATCAAACTGAAGAAAAACGTTGTAATCAGAAGCTTGACCACACGTCAAAAAGTGAATGAATACAAAATTGATAATCTCACTCCGCATACTACATACGAAATATCCGTAGCTGCTGGAAATTACAAAGGTTATAGTGAGGGGACTATTACTACGTTCCTAACATCTGAAGAAGGTATGTGTACATATGAACACATCCAAAGACTGCAAGGCTAATTATTGCGCACAATGTGAAACAATTATTGTCGATTTTAGCTCATTTTTTAAAGCCCGACCTCGGTCCGTGGTTATTGTGAATATTCCGAATTACGTGTCTAAAATTTGGAAAATTCGGCGCGACGTACATGCAAAGCCAACTTTTCCAGTTTGTTCCTGATGTATTAATAAAGGATGTGCTGAAGAAAAGTGCTGAAGTGCAGAACATAAATTCACATATATTATTTTAATTAATCTGAAATTTGTCAAATTCGTTGGTCATAATAGTAAAACACTAGTGCAAGTTTTGAGCTTATGTTGAGTACCTTAGCTTGCAGCTTAGTTCAGTTCTTCAATATTTTGTAAGAAACTTGCGGAAGTTGGCTTTGCAACTTCCTCGCGTAAAATATTTTGAAACGTAATTCAGAATGTTCACAACAAACGAACATGTCAAACGTGCATAAGAACTCACATATCTCAGAACTCACAGAACTCACGTAAGAACACACATTCAGGGCTATAACTTAGTTCGAAACGATCGCACTGAGAAACGGGGTGGCGGAGTTTGCGTATTTGTCAAGTCTTCAATTCCTTTCGTGACGCTTCCAAATCTTGGCTGTCCTAACCATGAGTGTTTGTGGGTAAAACTTAGACCTTATCGACTTCCAAGAGAAATTTCATGTATTATCGTTTGTGTGTTATACAAACCACCTCTTGCAGATAATAACGAACTATATGAGTACATTATTGTCTCTTTGGACAAAATATTATTACAATACCCTGCATGGAGCAGGAGTCATCGTCATGGGCGACTTTAATCAGTTTGACACTAAACGTCTATGCAGAAATTCATCTCTCAAACAAATTGTTAAGAAACCAACCCGTGAAATAGCGACTTTGGATTTAATACTTACCAATATAAAGCGTTGGTACAAAGATCCAGATATTCTTCCCGCAATTGGTCAATCAGATCATATGTCAATTATATTATATCCACTTGAAAAACCCCGTCGTACCAACACAACTACCAATGTTTGGGTTAGAAAGCGAAATTCATCAAACATGCAGGCTTTTGGTCGCTTCCTCTCTAATCTGGATTGGAGTGTACTTTCCCGATTATCTTCTTGCCAAAGTATGTGTGGTCTGTTCTATGACATCATAATCATGGGCCTGGATACTATTATCCCCCAAAAGCAGTCAGACTCCACCGTAGAGATAAAGCGTGGATTACACCTGAAATAAAATCGCTTATTTCCCAAAGACAAAAAGTACTTAGCTTGGGAAATAAGGCTGAATACAACAAATTAAGGAACAAAGTTATTCGTGTTATCAAACAAGCTAAACTTAAGTTTTATGAGTCACAGGTGAGTCATTTAAAAAACTCAAAGCCAAAGAAATGATGGAGTGCAATAAAAAAATTTAGTTGGCTCTTCTTCAAAACCAGTTTTTAATTCTGCTGAGGTTGATGGAATCATCTTACAAAGAAGAGAATTAGCGTCCGCAGTTAACGATGCATTTATTGCTGCCACCAAATCATTACCTCCGTTATCAGAATATAAAAAAATACATATCGAAGAATCTAGTGTCCCCTACACCATCTCTGACATTACTATTGAATCCCATTTAAAGAAAATCCAATCCAATAAAGCACCTGGTCCAGATGGCATACCAAACTGGATTCTCAATACGTTTTCCATGGAGCTCTCTGAACCTGTGACAATCATATTCAACACCTCTATTAAACAGACACAGGTCCCAAGGCAGTGGAAAGAGGCGGATGTTATTCCAGTCCCAAAGACAATCCCAGTAACAGATATATTCTCAGATCTTCGACCTATATCACTAACTGCTACACTGTCAAAAATTCTTGAGTCGTTCCAATTTCGAAGGATCATGGATACTATTCATTCGACATTGGATCAAAGACAATTTGGTTCATTAAAAGGATGTTCCACCGTGGACGCGTTAATTAGCATGTTCCATTGTTGGTTTCCAGATACAGATGGGAATGGCGAAACCGTACGTGTTTTTCTATTAGATTTTAGTAAGGCATTTGATAGAATTAACCCTCAAATCCTCATAAAAAAGATGCGATTACTCGGCATTGATAATTCTCTAATTAATTGGGTAATTGACTTCCTCATGCAAAGAAGACAGAGGGTGAAATTAGAGTCTCTGTCATCTGATTGGGAATTTGTAAATGGCGGCGTACCGCAGGGTACAATTCTCGGCCCGCTTCTTTTTCTTATAATAGTTAAGGACCTAGCCGTCACTCACAACAACCGATGGAAATATGTTGACGATACCAGTCTTTCGGAAACAATCATTAAAGGTAAACAAAGCCACTTACAAACTATTATAGACGATATTGAGAAATGGTGTACAGAGAATGATATGGTACTTAACCACGTACGCTAGATGCTAACCGCTAGATGCTAACCTAAACCATAGGTCTCCCGAAAAGGTCTTTTATTTAAAAAAAAATCCATACAATTTGCTTTAAAATACAATGCTTTGACATGCAATGCTTCAATGTACAGTAAAACCTCTATAATTTGTATTACATGAAGTACGTGCAACATCACAATAGCGTTGTCTCATTATGTAATATATATCCCCAAGGTTGGCAAGTAAATACAAATTTAAAACTGTATACACAAACTTAATGACGAAAAACTCGTACATAAACATCGAAATTCATTAAAAAAAACTAACTCACTATGGTAAGAAATAACTGTAATACTTCTATATTGTGTATTTTCACTTTTAAGGTGGCTACATAGACAATCGCGTGCAAAAATAATGAGACTCTTCACATTTTGGTGATTTTTTCACGTGCGTGCCCCCCTCCCCCCACTAACAATGTTGAAAACATATTATTTGATAAGCCCTGACCTCAAAATCGTTTTAACAACATTGCACAAGGGGGAGGGGGCCAAAACCATTGTTACAAGAGGGAGAGGGCCAATAAACTGCTTGTCTCAACAATTTTTGCACGCGATTGTCTTAGCAAAGGCCTCTTTATGGTCCCAAATTAACTTAATTAAATTTCTGCCAAAAATTTAACTTAACGCTATCTCGGGCAAAATTTTCATTTTTCGCGCTTTAAGCCCAGTGATCTAGTTTTCGTGCAAAACTCGCACAAAAATGGACTCAAGAGACGCAGAACGGGGGACTGGGTACGAGTAAGCAACCGTTTTGAACAGCTTATTGGATCCTAAATGTCTCCTGTTCTAAGCTTTTTTTCAATCTGGACTCTGGCATCCAATTTTTGCAACTTTAAGCGTCGCAAATTTTCTACTACGGCAGAAACGGACAGATTGACGAACGCGAAACAGAAATTATCTGGTTTGTTTGGTGGAAGGTCTTTGATTTTACCCGGAAGATTCCGCAGGCGGAGCAGAAAGACCTGTCTCGGTACCCACGCTGTTTTGACGAAATGGTGTTTTTGGATGAACAGTTTTAACTTTTTTCATGCAGCTATCATTGCACATTTACTCTCAAAGAAATACATAAGCATAGATGACACGTTACGCACACGTTACGCACACGTTACGCCACACGTTACGTTTGAGTTTATATAGAATATTAATGAAAACCGACACGTTACACACGTTACGCCCCATTCTTATAAAGGTAGAATAGGTCTACCTTTAATATATTAGGCGTAACGTGTGTAACGTGTCAGCTTTCTATAGATTATTATATACTGAAAGGCGTAACGTGTGGCGTAACGTGTGCGTAACGTGTGCGTAACGTGTTGAAATTGAGTTCTATTTAGTTTGCATGCATGTATAAGGTCTTCAAAATAATTTTCACGCGGAGGCAATAAATCGTTGAGTTTTCGCATAGTACTTTTATTGAATATGCATGGTAGAAGTGTATACTTAATACATTCGTCACTATTAAGCATCTAAAACAGTAATTGAAGTCAAAAGTCTCTGCCAATATAAACGGTATAAATAAGGAAAAACATTGTAATATAGAAACACTTAATAAATGTAATACTTCAATTGTTCTCCTCCGTTTCTCACTGATCATTGCAACACGCTTGTTCATCGATATAATAATTCAGTCCATAGTACTTTTTGACAAATTCATCGTCGTGCTTTTAACTCTTTCGGAAAATTGTTCAAACTTTTCTGACGTGATCTGCTTGACAATGGCATCTTGTCCTAACTGTTTTGATACTCAAGCGGGACGCGTTCAATTTATGAACTATTTATGGTCGTTTATGACGTCACGATGACATCATTGTGACGTCACAATTTTACACACTGTAGGGAAAATCCTTAGGCACACACCAAACACATAGTAACAGTAAGCAAAGGCTGTTATGCTTCTTATCTACAACAAAGCGAAATAACCGTATTGGAATTATCATTACTCGAAACTACATAGACAATCGCGTGCAAAAATAATGAGACTCTTCACATTTTGGTGATTTTTTTCACGTGCGTGCCCCCCTCCCCCCACTAACAATGTTGAAAACATATTATTTGATAAGCCCTGACCTCAAAATCGTTTTAACAACATTGCACAAGGGGGAGGGGGGGGGAAAACCATTGTTACAGGAGGGAGAGGGCCAATAAACTGCTTGTCTCAACAATTTTTGCACGCGATTGT